TGGGCCTGCCAGATATGGGCATCATTATGCTCGCGGCTCAGAAGCACATGACAGCTTTGGAGTTTGCAAAGTTCAATGACAGCGTTCCCCTTTTCAAGGCTGACTGGAGTAAGGAGAAAAGGCCTAACACATACACGCCCACAAAGCACTAAACATGCATGTAAGGAGGATGGTGACCTCATTAATCGGAATATAATACCAGCAATTCACCTTCCCTTCTCTCAGATCTCAAAGAAGGCAGAGTAATGTGGATACGAAGTGCAGTGTGCACTCAGTGTGTCTTGCGTGCGCTACAGAAAAGGCATGCCAGCCTAAAACATTACCATCTGTTTTAGGGACCACCTGAATTAAACAGAAATGCAGGGTGGTGACAGGTATGCAGGTATAGTTTTTCATGGGGAGGTATGTGTTATTTCTGGAATGATTCATTTTTTCAGTCTAAATCACTCAGTGTTCATGATGGATGAAAGTTATAATCTGACATTGATTGTAACATTTTTAGGCCAATGGCTGATGTTATTATTGGGATTGGGTGCTAGAAATCTGATTTTGTTGTCTGGGGGCACTGCAACAACAAATCCAGCTGCTTAACCTTGTCAAGGACCATGGGACATACAATTTGCTCAAAACGAACCAGTTTACAAACTGAACAGAAGACAAAGGGATTTATTTGTTTTTCCTAGGTAAAGATAACATATCAGCACTTCAGTTGAAAATTAAAATGTTTTAAGTGCTTGATGCGAGGTTTCCATTAGGGATTTAATTGGCAGGGTTATACAGAACAGTCATACTGAGTGAATGTTTGTGCAATATTTATTCTACAGAAAATTGTAAATACCAGATTTGCATATAAAATAATTGTGTTGCACTGAGGTCACTGTTAAATCGTTCCATGATCTGGCCTACTTCACTGCGTTTTCAAATAAAATAGAAGGTCAATAAAAACAGTGTGGTTTTTACTGGCTAAAGCTCTACAAGCATTTGGGGAATTTTAAGAAGTTCCTAAGCAGAAAGAGTTTGTTTCATATTGCCCATCCGTCTTCCAGCCACCCATTCAGTACAGGGTCACCAACGGCTGTCCCAGCCAGCACATGGCATAAGGCAGCGATGCAGCGGTGCAGCGGTGCAGCCACAGCCGCATTGTAGGAGCCATGGACACACGCAGCTACTGCGGGCGTGTTAAGAGTGCCACAAGGAAACACACACAAATTCCACCATACAGAACAGAAGTGGGATTCAAACCCTTGGTTCTGGAGGTACAGGGGTATATTTGTGTGAAATGTATACATTTAGCACAAATTACATTATAGTGAAAATTCCATTTACGAAAAAAAAATTCACAATATGAATAACTCCAGCATTACGCAGCTGCTCCTGTTCTATTTTGGTACATTATGTAAATCAAATTGCTAGTCTTCTAAGCTCTTTTGTGTGTTTTTGTGTATTTGGGTGTCTGCATGTGGTGGGGAAGCAGACAGGACGGTTTTTCCTTTTTGGGTAAATGGATAACAGTGTGCTGACAGTGTCTCACTGCGGAGATTGTAGAGTACAGGAGAGGCTTTAGGCAGGCCTGCCGTGCCACAGCAGCTGTGAATAAGCACTGCAGGTGCTTGTGCTTGTGTCTGTGTATGTGTATTGTGCTGTATATAACTGCTTCTATAGCAGTGGATACTAGTTCCAACCTTTTGAAGTCCAGATCGTGGATGCGTGACAGTGCTGTCATTGTGGTCAAGCAATCTTTACATCCACATCTTTGAAGTCTTGCCAGTCGCCTTTCACTTCTGGGCTTCTGCATGTATCATCATTTAGGAGTAATCTGAGCCTGTATGCAGAAGTATATTAACTTCATTTAATTACTCAGCCTCCCTGGCTTTTAGGTGAGATGTGTAGTAACAATATCAACGTGGCGTGTCCATGCTTTGTAAAACGATCTCGTCTAATTAACGTCACCTTTTTGCATCCAGAAAGGAAGGGTAGCTGGGTTGCGTTTAATTTGCAGACGAAGGGTGAAGAGGATGGATATAAAATCCCACTTTAAACATTACTGAGAGAGAACAATAAAGTACGCTGTGAGAGAATGGTCTGATGATTATTCAGGCTTTTTATGCTTTATGTACAGAGAAACTGCTGTAATGGATTCTACTGTTAGATGGGACAATGGCTGGGAGAGGAATAAGTGCCATGCTACCTATTACTGTAATAATAATAATAATAGTAATAATAATAAGTACAATATTTTGATCCAAGGCTGCAAGGCTGTGTGAAACAGCTCTAATTAAACAGGCTTGTCTCTTAAGTAACATGTACTGTCACACTTTAGACTGGTACATTTTATAGTTAGGACTTAGGAGCAATGGCTTCTTAGTTTTCTAGCTAATATACAGAATGTCTACATTAAATTGTCATCACAATATTCTACATAAATGCGACTGCATGAAAGTGCTGTAGAAGACGATTCATATATACTGTACATAATATTATGGGTGAGTATTTGCATTTTTGAAGTCAACACCTGGAAGCTCTGTATTATAAGCTTCTCCTCCTCCTGCTCCTACAACCAATACTAATATTAATCTGCACTGTTATTACGCTCCCACTGCCAATGTGACATTTGCATGTTTGCCCCATTTTACGCAGATTACGTCCAGATAGCCCTCCTGCAGTACAAAGGCACCTGTATTGCCCGTGGTGCATGACTAAAGTACAGTATGTATGCTTGCCCTGCAGTAGACTGGCATCGTTGAGCCTTTGTTGGCTGGGATACCCCCCTCTCCCCTCCCATTAACCCGGTACTGGATACATGGGATCTGTAGTCTTACATGAGAATTCTGATTTTTAAAGGTGCAGGTTAAACCTGTTGCACCAGATGTTACTTTCAGGAAGATCAGCTGACCTCTTGCGCTGTACCTGTAATCTTGACTGAAGAGCATGTGGATCATATTAACAGTATTACAAGAGCATCAAAAATTAGGCATACATTTGCCGTACAAGCAGATAGTAAATGCAGTCTGTTTAATATTGCTCCATATCAGAGACATACTGTAAATACTGATCACCGGTATTTATCGGTCTTCAACACAGGTATAGCCAGATGTGGAGATTTCAGGTCCAGAGAGTACAAATCCAGACCAAGATTTTAGAGATTTTAGAGAAGAGTACTCAACTCACAGTCACAGTCACAGAGTACTCAAGTCACAGTCACAGAGTACTCAAGTGGTTGGTTGAAACAAAATCTTGGTCTGGATTTGTACTCTCTGGGCCTGAAATCTCCAGCCCTGGGTATAGCAGCAGTCCTGTCTGAGTCATTGTTCAGCACTTACTCTAGTCTCATAATTACTCCACCCTCACCCTGTTGGGTACTATGCAGCCATTGTGTGATGCATTACAGTTACACTTCTTACTATGCAACTGGATATATCATAATTTCTGTAATGCTGCTCTGTGTTTCAGCAAAATCATTTGCCCTAATTGCTGTGTGGCATTTCATAATCGCTCCAGGGTCACTTAAAAATTGGATTAATTAGAGTCGGTGGTTAGACTGTTTACTATATGTATTTAGGTTGGGTATAGAAAATGGACAGTCCTGCATCTGCAGAATGGAAGGCCTGTGACCAGTAGAATTTCCACTTGAATTATTTTTTTTTTGGCGAGGGAGGTAGGATCATTTTTACAAATATAAATAATTTTTAGGCCTTCAGTTACTATGCCCACACATGGCTCTGTATGACCCCGGAGAGAGTCCCAGTGTATAGATGAAGGCGGACAGCTGTATGTATGGCACTCCAGTGGCTGTGCTCCGGAAGTGTGCTGGGGGAGAGACGGAGCCCAGAGCCCTGCTGCCACTGTCCTTCCTAAACGTGGAGCTTCATCATGCCAGGGACACGCCAGACAGCAGGTTTCGGCTCAGGTCTCCAAGTGCAAGAGCAGTTTAGATTCACAGTGTTACACCCTCAGGTCGTTTCCCTGATAACTAGGTCAGGGCAGGCACCAAATATAGGCAGCTTGGGGTCGATTGTTGGGGGAAACACAGTTTTTATCACAGGTTCAAAGGAGGAAGGTCTCCTGTGGATTAAACGGTCCCCATCTGTCAGTATTCTTGTATTGCATACCTGTTCAGTGCTTTGATATCTGTTTTGTAAGCGGCTCAACACGTCCATGACACCAGAAGCCTTTGTGTGTAATTGGTAGAACAGAGTAGCTGTGTTTCATTTATTTACGCACCTTTAAAGAGGATTTCCAACAAATTGCACAATCTTAGGTTGTTTAGTACAGATGGATTCAGAATCTATAGAGTCTGTTTAGTTTAGTAAAGCAAGTATTTAAAGGCCTAAGTACCTTTTCTGTTTTGGCTTCAGGTTTGGGGATCACACTTGTTACCAAGATAATTCCTAGGAAGCGTTTTGTTATCATCGTGTCTCGTGTACTTTACTGTTTTGTAGCAATAAAGACACCGTAACCTAAAAAGTGGGGTGGGTTGTACTTAAATATAACAATAGAATAATGTTGTTTTATAACATTAAACACATTTGTAAAGCATTGAGAATTAGCAATACGTGAGGCAGGAATTAATACCAATATTAGAAGAACATAGCTATTTTTTTTATATAGAAAATAAAATGCAAGGTCTCTTTTTATAGTGCAATAATGCAGTTTTATTTGGATAAACGGGACATTATCAGGTGATTAATAAGCTTGACAGTGATTTTTAGTAGCCTTCCCTTAATACGCTCACCCTTATGTGACAGTTTTTTGATACAGGATAGGCTGCTGTACTTTATTCTGATACAATAATTGCATCGTGCCCATGTGAGTGTGTGTGAGTGTGTGTGTCCTAGTGCACGTGCGTACATGTGTGTCCCACGAGGTTAGCTTTGGCTAGCATGGCTTGTCTCTCCATGTCTGCAGACAAAACCCGATGAATGCCAAATGGATTCAGCCAACGCCTGCCTGTCCCACTGCCCCATGTCTAAGGGGGCTTTCCGTCCTTCTCTCTCCCACAGGATCTGAAGAAGGTGCTGTCCTTCCCCCATTACCCTGGCGAGTTCCTGCATCCGGTTGTGTATGCCTGTACAGCTGTCATGTTGCTGTGCCTGTTTGCTTCCATCATTACCTACATCGTGCACCACAGGTAAAGCTCCAGGCGTTAATGCACTTTTCTCTGTTTATGTGTGTGTGTGTGTGTGTGTTTGTGGATTATGTTTATATTGCATTGTGGGGACCAAATGTTCCCCACAGTGCAATAAAAACCTGTTATTTTGACGTTATTTTTTTTAAGTCCCTGCAAAGATGCAGTTTTTTGACTGTGAATGCAGTCAAAAAACTAAAAATTCCAAAAGTCTCGTATTTTGTTTGGTTACTTATGGTTAAGGTTAGGGCTGGGTAGGGGTTAAGGTCATCATGTTGGGATTACAGTTTTTCCCATAGAAATGAATGGAGATGTAATTACAAACCTGTTTGTGTATGTGCGTGTGTGTGTGTGGTAAATAAAACCTGTTATTTTCACCTTGTTTTTTCAGTCGTCCCAAGGAGGAAACTCAATTATATAAAAATCTTTGCCTGCAATCAAAGGCTAGGGGTTAAGGTTGTCATCGTTAGGATTAGGGTTATGCCCATAGAGATGAATGGAGAGTCCCCACAGAGATATAGATATTGAATCTGTTTGCGTGCTTGCCTCTCTGGCTTAAGTGAGCATCTCGTTTTTTTTACACTGTTAATGTCTCTGTGGTGCACAGATGACTGAGCAGGGCCTCATTTGTTCAGTGGAGCCTTGATGGGTGATCGGTGATTGACTAGTTTTGACAATCCAAGAGCTTTGCTCTCCAAAGAGTAACGTTTTGATTGATACGTTGTTAGCAATAAAGTCTGTCCAATTACTACTTTATCTTGTCATTCATTTTTATCGATTCCTTATTAAAGTCCTCATAATATACGAGGCCAGGAATAATGTTAGGAAAAGGTGCTTTGTACGAACATAAATGATTAAAAGCTGTAACAAGTGGGTCTGAGCTAAGCAGCACGGCAGTATCCTCACTGTGCTTTGTGGATGTTTTTCTGTTGGTGCCGGTTGAGAGGAGATGTCATATGTCCCTATCTATCACATCAGAGTATACACCATGAGGCATGAAGAGAGCAAAAGTAATAAACGCTATGAGATTTTATTAAATGTTATATTTATGGTGTACTTTGGCGCCACAGGTATTGTAGAATTGACAGGAATATTAAGAGCAGGTATTGAAATTCTTTTTCAGAAGAATGGTGGTAAAAATCTATAAAGTTTCCCCCAAAATGTGTAGAGGGATGGTCAATGAACAGCTATTTTTTAAGCTATTTTGAACAGTGAATTATTCACTGTTTTGTGGCGTTTTCGAATAGTTGTATTACATCTTTGTTAAATTCGCCATTGAAATATTATGAGATATTTTGCAAAGTACTACATAAATTATGAAGGCATTATTAAACAGAAAAAACTGTTAGTGTGGAAATAAGAGGTCTTGTTGTGAGAAGTTTCTTCAACCCCATTCATTTTACAAAGCTATCATGGAAAATAAAGTGCTGTTTGAAAGTACAGAATTACCTGAAAACAAATTAAAATGAGGCGATTGATTTAAAATTTAATACATTTATAATGTTACTCCCAAAATGTCAGCTATTTTATGTATTAATAATATGTTAAGTAAACTCCAAATTTTTAAAAATGCTTTTCCAATACACATGACCTTTTCTGTTTTACTAGAGTGATTCCACTTAAGTGCCTAGCTAAAGGGTACTAAAGCAATGTCCCTCCTGGGATTTGAAACTGCAACATTCAACATTCGAGTTGGGAACCCTTGTCCAATATATTACATTCTGCTCTGCATGTATTCAGGCTGCTAGCATGAAGACATAAAAGTGCACGATTACTGTAACAACATCTAGAGTTTAAATGTCTTGGTTATTTGATCATTAGCCCTTCTGTCACAGATTCCCACAAAAGATAAATAGCCGTCACAGCAAAAGAACACATTTACATATTTAGTGGACGCTTTTGTAAAAGCAAAAGTGAGGATCAGAAGGTAGGATCAGACAGTGTCTGTTGGGAAACTGGGGTTGAGGGCCTTGTGCCAAGCGCCCAGTGGTGACATCACTTACGGATTTGATCCAGCAGCCTTCAGCTCCTGGGCATGGATTCCTAACCCACTGAGCCACACATACTCCACTCTCAGATCACACACAGGTTGAGATCAGTTGCATTTTAGCCCCATCCATTTGTTTCCCCTTTGCCTTTAAACCAGATTTGAAGCCTGAAAATTAGTTCTGTGTTTTCATTGTGTCCATTTGGGAGCTGCTGTTGGCAGTTGAGAACGGGAAACTGGAAGGAATCTGTGTCCTCCACCAATCATATGCTTCAGCCAAATAAACCGTGGCACCACACAATAACGTGTCTGTGAATATGCATGTTTTTCTTCCACCTCAATTAAATGAAAATGTTTCAGATATCGTTAGGAAGGTTAGCCAGTAGGTCCACCAGCAGGCATATTTGGTTATGCCGCATATTGTCTCTCTCATAACAGTTTCCGTCTGCCAAGGACAATTACGAAAAGGAGACCAGCGTCAATTTAGGGGTAGGACATTTTCAGGATATTAGCAGGTCGACCGTGAGTCATAGTTTCTGGGCTGGAAAGTCACCGGGGACGGTCACCCTCTGAGAGGGCAGGACTCATCTCTGGTTTGACCATGCCTGTCAGGTGCAGGTTAATGCACCTGAACCAGTCCATCCTAAACCAGCTCTCCACCCAAGCGGCTTCCAGTTGGCTGTTAGGTGATTTACAGCTTCCTTTGCCATGCTTCAACAGAGATGGAACTCTTTAGCTCCATGGCTGGGTGTCTTCAGAATGGTCTCATTTATAAAGGGACGAGAAACCCCTGTCCTTCATGAATGACTGAATATTGGGAGCACTATGGATCTTTATCTTCTCCTTTATTTACTGACTTCTTTATCCTAGGGCAACTCGCTCATACAATGATTTATGAAAATGGATGTTCTCCGGTGCAATTCAAGTTAATTACCCCATTCAACCGAACAAATGATTACCCCACCTGGGATTTAAACCCATAAACACATGGTCGCAAATTTATTTGCAAGTAATACACCTTGCCCTTTAGCTGCTAATAATTAAGTGAAACTAAGGAAGCAGTCAGTATGAAGGAATTTGTTTAAAGTTATGGCTAATTAATGTTTACCTTACTTACTGTGCCATCTGTAGTTTGTAGTAATAAAACAAACTATGGGTTTGTATATCATCTTTGTGGTCTTTCATTTGACAGATTTGCATTTATTCTGTTAATTTCTTCATTTCTTTTTGGTAGCACAATCCGCATCAGCAGGAAGGGATGGCATATGCTCCTCAACTTCAGCTTCCATACGGCACTGACCTTCGCTGTGTTCGCTGGCGGCATCAATCGAATCAAAAATCGCATCATTTGTCAAGCGGTAAGTTCACTGCCCATGATATATGTACCCGTATGTGGTATAAGAAACATTTGGTGCAAGGCTCATGCCTTTATGTACATGGTGTAAATGCTGCAGCTTTGCGCTCACATGCCAGCAGTAGGGCATCTGCAGCTCAGGGTGTGTAATCACATCAGTAGCTGCTGGTTTGAAGTAATGTCACTGAACCTAGAGGGGCTTCATCAAAGTCCCCAACATATGACGTCTTAAACACTAATGTCTGTTTCACACCATGCAGCTCCAGACGTGACAATGTGCTTAAACAAGTGAACAAATGGGATTAACCAGCTTTTTTTTAGGGGTTAGTGATACATTATAGCGGAGTATCCAGTCATGAAGGCTCCGGTTCACATCTTCTAAAATGGACAGGGGGTCTTTCAGGATACCATTGTCAATTTTGATAAGCATCTGATTTAAATCCAGCTCTTGAGTTCTGATTTTGATAGTCTTCACTGTAAGCATTTGAGCTGAACAAAATTGGCAGTGAACTGTTCCTGAAATTGAACGCATATTGCATATTACATCACTGCACAGCCTGTGACCTGTTGCATGAAAAGGATTCTCAGACTTCTTCTCTGCTCAGGTATCCCAGGTACAGCAAGGAGCGTGCTGTGATGATGATGTGCTTTTAAGGAATCCGATCTCTTGCTATGTGCTTCCACCCTGTTATGTAGCTATGACTGTACCCCAGGAGTTAGTGCCAGAGGGTATTATTAGGTATGGTAGTACTATGGCTTGGGCACACTTGCAAACAGGCAACACAGAAAAGCAAGTTCATAATGAGACACTTACTTGGAAAAAGTTCAAACAAAACACACTTCGACTGGAGAGACCAAAGAATAAGCAATGACAAAAGTTTCAAAGTATATAATCATTAAGGCTGGGAGACTCGCTTGTGTCAAACCAAGCTGGTTCAAGACTGAGAACAGATTGAAGAGCAAAGAGAGCTTCTACAGAAACACAAGATACAGATGAAATCGGTGACACGATGAGGGGCAGGAAACAGAACAGAAACAGGAGCTGGTCAGATGTGATTGTTTAGAACATTCTGGAAAGCTTGTGAACCTTCTACAGAAATCAAGGTGTTCTCACTGCAGCCCTCTGGTGGTCACCCTGAGAATTGCCTGGAGCTGTAATATTGGGTTTCTCAGAAGCTATACACCAACAAGCCATAACATTACATCCACTGGTAGGTGAAGTGGATAACACTGATTATCTCACCTGTCAAGGGTGCCATTATATATTATGCAAGTGAACAGTCAGTTCCTGAAGTTGATGTGTTGGAAGCAGGAATAATGGGCAAGTATAAGGATCAGAGTGGCTTTGACAAGGGCCAAATAGTGATGGCAAGACTGTGTCAGAGCTTCTCCAAATCAGCAGGACTAGTGGAGTGTTCCCCGTATGCAGTGGTCAGTACCTACCGAAAGTGGCCCAAGGAAGGTCAAGCGATGACCTGGTGACGGGGTCATGGGCGCCCAAGGCTCATTGATGCACGTGGGGAGCAAAGGCTAACCTGTCAGGTCCAGAAGGACAGGCGCGCTACTGTATCACAAATTGCTAAAAAAAAAGTTCATTCTGGCTATGGCAGAAGGGCGTCAGAACACACAATGCATTGCAGCTTGCTGCATATGGGGCTGCATAAGACCGGTCAGAGTGCCCATGCTGACCCCTGTTCACCGCCAAGAGCGCCTACAATGGGAATGTGAGTGTCAGAACTGGACCAATGGAGCAATGGAAGAAGGTGGCCAGGTCTGATGAGTCACATTTTCTGTTACATCATGTGGACGGCTGCCTATGTGTGCGTCATTTAGCTGGGGAAGAGATGGCACCAGGATGCTCTAATGGGAAGACAGCAAGTCGGCAGACGCAGAGTGATGCTCTGGGCGATGTTCTGCAAGGAAACCCTGGGCCTTGGCATTCATGTGGATGTTACTTCGATGCAGGCCACTTACCTAATCATTGCTGCAGACCAAGTACACCCCGTCATGGCAACGGTATTCCCTGATGGCGGTGGCCTCTTTCAGCAGGAAAATGAGTCCTGCCACACTGCAAAAATTGTTCAGTAATGGTTTGAGGAACATGAAAAAGAGTTCAAGGTGTTGACTTGGACAAAGAAGTCCAATCCATGAAGGCACCACCTCACAATTTACAGGACTTATAGGATTTGCTGCTAATTTCTTGGTGCCAGATATCACAGGACACCTTCAGAGGTCTTGTGCCGTCCATGCCTTGAGCAGTCAGAGCTGTTTTGGTGGCACAAGGGGGACCTACACAGTATTAGGCAGGTGGTTTTGATGTTATGGCTGATCAGTGTATAAGTACAGTGGTACCTCGGTTCCCGAACTCATTAGAACTCAAATTCCTTAAAAGTCGAACCAACCAGTTTGAAAAAAAATTACCTAGAACTCGATCTGAATCTCAGAAGTCAAACCATGAACGCCGACCTAAGATAACTTGTATGCGCAGGGAAATGAGTCACGCGGCACGTCTCTCAGCGGAGACAAAGGGTACCGCATTTGCTGTGATAGCATCGTGCATGTTTACACTAGCTGAATACATATATTTAGACAATAAAAATACATTTAGACAATGATAGACAATAACAATGATTATTATTATATAATAATAAAATACATTTAAAAATAAAGATTTCTTATTCATAATTTAATATTAATAATAAACCATTAATACATTTAATTATAATAATATTGTCGTACTGAGCGGAGACAAAGGCGCAGATGTCAGGGTATCGGAGAATACGGGGTTTAATTACAGGTAAGGCAGGCAAAACGCAGACGGACAATACAATGACCGGACTGGGGAAACAAACTGAAACGTGGACTAAATACAGAGGGCTAATGAAAACAACCAGAAACAGCTGATCACAAGGGGATTCCACACGGGGTTAACGAGGGGGCGTGACACATGGAAGGAGCGGACGATCAGGGCAGGACACATTGTTTTTCTTAACTTTACACATTGTTTGGATATATTTATTTTCTTACTTTACAAATTACTGTTTTGATAAATGTGCTTAGATGTGTTTAGTACAGTATATGCTCTTCTTGTTTTATCCGGTTCATTTTGTGTTTAAATGCTAGAAAAAAACATATTTAGGTGTAATTTTTTGCGGCCGTGAACCAATTAATTGGTTTTCGATTAATTCTTATGGGGAAAATTCGATCAGATCTCAAACTTTTTAGGATTCGATCCGGAGTTCTGAACGGATTAAGTTCGAGTTTTGAGGTACCACTGTATTAGAATAGTAATTGTGCTACACACAAACATATACAGGCCCAGAGCATAAAGAATTTTGACAAGGACCAGTATTCTGACATTCTAACTCATTGTCCTTTTGACAGATATATAAATAACTGCCTTTCCACACATATGCAAACATACTCGTATAACACTGGTTTACAAGGGTTTTGTTTCCTTTAGACTTTAGACTTTGTGATGATGATCAGAAATACCTTCAAAATTTTCATATCACATAAGGTTTTTCAGAAATGGTTAATTTTGTTATAATTACTGTAAAATGTTTTAAACACTGGTATTTCACATAACACTGGTCAACAAAGAAGTTTTTCACAGAACAACTAAGGGATGTCTTACGTGCTTTTTAATGCTGATTTAAGAAATGCGCTCAGAATTTTGCTCTAACCAATAGTTTGTCAACAGTGATGTCATTTTAGGCTATATTGGCAGTATATCCTTATTATGAATGTATGGGCATATTCAAGAGTAATTTAGAAAAAAATATTTTATTTCTATTTCTGAGCATTAAGGGACTTTACAGAAGGGGGTAAGTCTGTTTTGCCAGAGTTTACAGGCTGTAACACGTTTGGACATGTTGAGACAGGATCCTGTTCTCTCTCTGATATGGAAAAACGATGTCAAGGCAGATGGAGTCCCAATATGCTGCCCGACGACTTCTGGACCCTTAAAAAGGATGTTCCAGAAAAAAAAATTCACTATTACTTTTTAGATGAGTCACTGCCACCATGCACATATACTGTAAATATAGGTATAGTGTACCAAACTATATAACTCAAAATCATTACGTGGTTGGTACATTCTGATTAGATATTTGAATTCAGCACAATCAATACGGTAGGATTAACCTTTGATTTGTGTAACAAAAAGACAGCAAAAATTTGTTGGCCACTGATGAGCTTTTTTCAGTTAAAGTATTACTGGATGGTAGCAATCAAGATGAACAGTAGGAAAAGGCAACAGAAAAAGGAAAAAAATCCAGGATTTGTTTGGTCTGCATTGCTTCCTGTTGCATTCGGTACATTTGAATAACACTGACTATGGTGCATCAAATAATGATGGCATCATTTTTCAAACCTTCTTTAGGGGAATTCTACACCCCCCCCCCCCCCAAAAACACCCCCATTCTCGAATCAGGGATGCAGAGCACAGCTTCTGCAGAACTGCAGTGCACCACCTGCCAGGGAAACTTCAAGGACTTTCAGACTATCTGCGGGAAAAGGGGGCTTTCATCAAATACCTCTCCCCCCTCACGGCAACTCGCACAGCCTCGGCAGTCCTTGTGTATCACTGTGTGTATAGAAACCTCCCATCAGCTCTGAGTGTATGATAAAAACCACTATCAACCCAAATGCCAAACCTGTCCACTAACTGCAAGAAAATCTGTAACCTGGTGTCATCCTTTCACTATTGAATGACGTAAATATGGACCCTGCCTTTCTTAAGCTGCCTGCTTTGTGCCGGCATTCAATTTATACCTTACATTAAGCAGTACAAAAACATTCTCATTTCTGTCGAGCCGCTTGTTGATTCCTCCTGCTGTGGATCTCTAACCTTACTCTAATCTTATTATGCCAAAGAGTGAAATACGTATGTCATTTAAGAAATTTCTGAAGTTTGCACATGCTAGTTTACAAGACTAAGATCATAGGTACACTATATTAATCCCACAGTATAAAAAATATATTTTTAGGTTACTTGTTTATGTATATTGGGTCCAGTGTGAAACTGTCCAGTTAGATGGATGGATGGATGGATTACAGTAATATTTAAACCATTTGCAGATGCTGGAGACATGTTTTGATTTTTATGAGGTTATTTTGTTTTATCACACAATTCACCATAAAAGTTAATGTCAAAAAGACAGTTTTCATGCACCTGTGTAATGATCCAGAGCCTTCTTGTTGATTATAAACGGTAGATTTTGATTTTAACAAAAAGTTCTGTCTAAAAACCTGCCTTGTCTCTGAAACTTGTCTGTCACGGCTGCAATGTAAGAGCACAAGGTTAACAGCTGTCCTGCCCTCTTCTGACCCACACTAACCCCACTGTTCAGCACTGACCCAAATTACTGTAGCTACATCCCTATTCACTGCCTTCCTCATTCTATCCAGTAACGCTTCTCCCTGACATACAGACCTTCTCTCTGTTCATTTAAACCACTATATTGTACCTCATACTGATCCTACTATCCCAGCACTACCTCATACTGAATTAAGTGCCCTAACAATAGCATAATTAAATAAAATATTTTACAGTGTCAAGTGTCTTTTTAGGAATAGCTGATGTATTTCAATGCTCCTCCATGTACCCAGGCTTTACTATATATATATTATTTATTATTTTTTTTTTTTGACAGACTTTTGAAGCAGGAGAAATGGACAATCAGACCATGCTAGTGCTCTGACAGTTACATTGGTCCTGTCTTTGTTTTACGTGCATATACTGTACGTGTTATTGAGATACGGCGTGTTACTCTGGGTGTACACGCACCTGTAATTCACCTAAGCATGCGACTCTCCCCGGTGCAGGTCGGCATCGTGCTCCACTACTCCACACTGTCCACCATGCTGTGGCTTGGTGTCACCGCACGGAATATTTACAAACAGGTGACCAAGACGTCCCACCAGACACAGGACGGAGACCCACCCCCGAACCCCAAGCAGCCCATGCTGAGGTGAGCAAAGGTCTTCCTGAGTCGAAGTTTCTGACGAGCAGCAAATCACATGTTACTCAAGCACAGGATTGAACACGTCTGTGCAAGCTGGAGCACATGTGTGCTTATGTGCCTCTTAAGCATGTGATTAACAGTGTTAGGGCATAGCTAACTACAATTAACGACGGTACCAACTTTACTTTTAGTTTTAAAACACTGTAGCTTTTTTTTTTTTTAACAAATAACGTTGTAGCGTGGGAAAGCGCTACATTGTTAAAAAAAACTCGTTGACTTAAGACCTATGCAACTTATGACTGATCGATTTTACCACCGTTCCGCGACTGGCAGCACGGGTGCTGCCCCGCATGAATGTACAGTATGACAGCTTCCGTCCCAACTGCTGACAGCACGAGGGTCCACGCGAGACGCTCCAGGCTACTGTTCGCAGCGCTCACAGTACAGAATACATCGTATCCGTTTCTGTGTTAGCAGCTTAAATGGTGATAAAAAGGTTATAACAACAATGAACTCAGAAAATTGCGATAAAAAGGTTAAAAGCACCAAACAATTGACTTAAAGATGATATAATTTTAATATACAGTACACTATACATTTTTGTTTATGAAATTACACCAAATAAGCTTTTTTGAAACCTTATAATGATTTGACCTTACATTGTTTAAAAATATAGATTTTCATATTACTTTTAACACCATGTTTCACATGTTTTAAAATTAATTTGCTTTGTCCTACAGCACAGATATTATTACCCGATGAAATAGCTTCAGTGTAATTAGCTACTTTTTCCCTGTAGCTTGTAGTGTAGCTAACTACTATATTAAAACAGTAGCTTGGCTGTAGCTTAGCTACTTTTAATCATACTGTAAGTAGCTTGTAGCTTGAAAAGCTTCTATTTAAAAGTAGCATCCTCAACACTGGTGATTAATAAGTCTGTGAATGCGGCATTATTAAGGGTAACATTAGCTGAGTGATTTCTCCTAAGATGGAATTTATTGAGCAGCCGGGGGGATATCTGAAGTTTGCATTCAAGTACTAACCTGGGATGAAAATTTGTCTGACTACCCAAACCACTTTCCCCGATATATAATTACCATTTTCCTTACCTTGCTGAATCAAACCTGATGAGGTATGCAGTGTTTATCGATTCACTATACAGTACACTATGTATGCATGTAAATTTTAGCAATGCAAAGATTCAGCTATGATAATGATATCCTCTACCTGGCTGTGCTGTTTTCTAATTTAAAAAACCGACGATTGTTCAGTGGGGATCTTTTACCGAACTGTAGTGAAATGGGAATGACGTTCTTGAATTCGAGAGCTATTTCAGCACTGCGGCAGAATATTTCATAGCTTTTTTTGCCATAGACTTGCAAACCTTATTAAGGAATAAATGTTATTAGATACGTAATGCTGACAAATTTCATGGATCTTGCATGATGATTAATTTAATCCAGTTATTAGGATAACTGTTAAGGCTTTAATTGCATTTCCTGGAAACATCTATTTGACTGCTGTCTTAACATGTTTAATATTTAAAAGGAATTTGGAAGCAGATTTTTAGTATGTTCTCTGTTTGCAGATTAAGTACATTTTGATCATCCACCTAAAGAAAATTATATCGGTGCCACATGTTTCTTTTTCTCTTATGGAGGATTGTTTAATCTTCCACATGATTGAAAAACCGTGAATGTTCCTCCCTGATTTGAATAGGAATTCAATTAAGTTTCTTATTTATCATTTCAGCTGCATCAGATTATAGCTGTGAGTTCACTTTTGAGAATTCCACAATGGTTTAATCAGCCATATTAAGCATGGGAGATATACATATGGTGGTGCAGTGGTTAGCGCTGTTGCCTCACACCTCTGGGACCAGGGTTCTAGTCTCTGCCTGGGTTCCATGTGTGTGGAGTTTGCATGTTCTCCCCGTGTCGTCGTGGGGCTTGTTCCGGGTACTCCGGTTTCCCCCCACAGTCCAAAGACATGCTGAGGATAATTGGAGTTACTAAATTGCCCATAGGTGTGAATGGTATGTGAGTGTGCCCTGCGATGGGCTGGCCCCCCACCCTGGGTTGTTCCCTGCCTTGTGCCCATCGCTTCCAGGATAGGCTCCAGACCCCCTGTGACCTCAAAGGATAAGCAGTTTGGAAAATGGATGGATAGTGAGAGCACTGCCTCATACAGATGACTGCGGGTTCAAATACCAGCTTTACTCTGTACAGTATGTGGAGTCTGTATGTTCTCCACTATTTGTGTTGGTTTCTTTTTGTTGTCCAAAGACATAGGTAGGGGCACTGGTGTCCGGATTTTCATTAAGAATTGTGTGAAGGGGTGCAGTAAAGCTGTGTGCTGTAGAGTACAGGGAGCTGGGAAGGTGCAAAAATGTGGAGTGTATTGGGGTCCCTGAGGGCCGGTTTCAGAAAACACTGCCCTAGAGAGCAACAGTGATATTCCAGTGGAAATAGCTAGTAGTGCATGTATTTGCTCATTAATCACTCCTTCCTACTGTTCAACTTGTACGTGCGTACAGTGATTTATTGATAATGTGTTATTATTATCCTCATCCTGAACATGAAGGTCATCAATCTAATATGATGTGATGCTTCAGTGTATAATGCATTTATTCTTGGTCTTCCATCCATTGACTAATCAGACCTTTATTCTAGATCTAATTTCTTTTTGTGTGGATTTGATGCATTAGAATATATTACGAGGCTTTTTTTTTGCACGAGTGTCTCAAAGTGTTATTGTACTAATTGGGGTGTTTTGCTGTATTACAGAACAGGTCAGAGTGTAATCAAGGCATAGTACAAGATCAATACGATGGTTCATAAAATCCTGTGGTCCTGTGTGGTTGTTTTAAAGTGCTTTATGAATAAAGTTGGTATGGTATGGTATAAAGTCAGATTGTCACAGCATGGCCAGGCAGGCACAGGTGAAGGGAAAACAGGATGTATATGTACAAATGGTTTCTTGGGCAATACAAGTACAAGTACAGCTGAGGGACCCACAGACATGACAGCAGCGACTCGCACAGAGACTGGCGCAGTGACACGTGACAAATGCACAACCTGGCAACCCCGGCCTAAGACCTTACATACAAAGGGGAAGACACAGGTGCAACACATCAGGGCAACCAGGGCAACATAACTGACAACTACCAGACGCGCTAAGGTACAACCTAGGTAAACGTGACACAATTAGTGCTGGTGTGTCTGGGGGCTTTGTAGATTGTGCCAGCAATGCAAAGGTGTGGCAATATTGGTGCAGTAGTATGATAAGTTTAAAATACAATATTTAAGCAAGATGGAAAGGAAAGTTGGTCTTTTTGAGTCATAGAAACCTGTTCCTAAACCAAGGGACTTAAACTCTGAGGTACTGTACTTTCAGAGAGAAGCTATTGTTTTTCTGCTTATTTATTTAATATAAAACCTAATATAAAAGTCTATAACTGATGCTGATATTCAATATATTTGAACATGTGTCTTTTTCTGTACACATTTGTCTGCATTCCTCCTCTCAGTGGCAAAATTTGACAAAAAAATACCCTCACACTAAAGATTAATATTTTATGTACTGAACTTTTTTTACACATTATGTTCTGAAAAAGACTCTCAGCATGTCTGTTTGAAGACTGTTCAACTGACCTGTACAAAATCTGGGATTTAAGAAGAAAGTCCTTATACTAAAAGTCAACATGTGGAGCTCTATAGCAATACTAACATTAAAGCTATAATGTTTCAGTTGAAAGAACTCTTGCAGTGTTTCACCTAATGTACTAGCATTAAAGAATTAATTTGATTCAAGGAGCCATATCCTTCACTATATTGGATTTCTTCTGTTTTTGAATTTTCAGGTTTATTCAAAAACACTTTCAGTGTGAAATCGTACGGCTGCACAATCAGATTTCAGCATTTACACTTTTCGGAAGCATTTCCCTTTCGCAATTTTTCCTATTAGGTTTACTTCATTGTACCTTTTATTTAAGTATGACTTTTCTTTGTTTATTGTATGTGATGTGCTAATCTGAGAAGATCATTGCTAGACTCCACAATTTTCCTCGCTAGAGGAAGGTACTGTGCAGGTGCTTTTTGGTTTATTGCCAATTCAAGTAATTTGATTTTCGAAAGCCATTTGTGGAAGCTTGTCAAAAACTGCGTGGCGAGCACATCGCTAACGCTACAAAACCACAGTGTGAGGCACATTTAATTTCTTAATGTCTACGCCTGTCAGTGGCTTTCTTTTTTTTTTTTACATACTGAGTGACTCAGCATCATTTTCCTCCATTTAACTGTTGATGGTGGCGGTGATTCTTCCCCTCACATGTGACACAGCAAGTGCCCGAAGGAGCGATGGCTTACAGGCATATTCTGGTCTACCCTGTGGGGTCCTCTGCAGGGAAGTGCCACAGGCCCATCTCATTATCTGCACACTACACTTTTTAAAATGAGATAACGCGGCTCCTGACAGAGCACTGATATGCCGTGATAGACTCTAATGCTTGTGGCTGAGGGACCCTGGCCAGGGCTTAGCTGTTAGTGGCAAATCAATTTCAGTCGCTGTGTGACGCACCCTCATTGGCCACCTCAGCCAGCCTCGCCCCTGGCACTGCTACAAGAGTGCTTGTTCGATGACGGCCCATAGTTCTGAAGACTCTGAAGACCTTCAGTTTATGCAGCGGTGTTACTCAGAGTTAAACTATTCGAGATGAATGGCACGGTGTTCTGTCAAATTTTTTTTTAAAGCTTTGCTGGAGGCTTTCAGATCGGTTATATTAGTACACTATATTAGACAAGCTAATGGTTTTATAAAGTGTTCATGATATGTTTCTGCATTAGAATGTACTTATTAGTCTGCGATTTTGCTTCTATTATTTACAGACATGCAGGCAGGACTTGAGTCTCATAGTTGAGGCAATAAAGAAAGGAGGATTTTTAATTGATCTTCCCAACGGACTTTATTTAATGCTGTTAACTAGTTCCTTTTGGTGTAATAGTGGCTGAACTCACAAATTGAAAGAAATAAAGGTTTGCCATTCTGTAGTTATTTGTTCCTTTTTGGCCATTGGAATTTTTTGTATTCAGTCAGCATTTTTTCTTACTCAGTAGCTTTTTATTTTGCAGGAGGGAAAAAACAATTTAGTCGCTATTCATGGAGCATCTGTGCTGTTTATGAATAATTTTTTGATTTTTTTTTTAACTCTTTTGAAATGTCATAGACATAAACAGCTTAAAAAGGCATCTGATTAAGAGATCATATGGAAAATCATCAAGGGTTTATCCTGAGCCACATAATCAGTAAAGGTCAGGTGATCACTTGAGGTCTTTCAATAATCTAAAGTCAAAAGTAGGGGAAAAAAAAAGATCTTTTTCTAAGGCTCAGCGAAGACCTATTTTTTATATCCGTCTGTGAGATTCTGAAGGATTTCTTGCAAAAAATTGGCAAATATGAGACAAAAGCAGAATGTCTCTGGGGGTGCGTGTAGTAATTTTGTTTTCCTGGAGATGCTGAAAAGAAATGCCAGAGATGAGGCTACGGCTCTTTATTTTGGTCTGAGTTGACCTTTCCATTTTCCTCCCCACATTCAAATGTTTGTGTTTTTTATACGTTTGTGCAACTACATTTGCTTGTAGTTAATCCTGTATGCAGTGAATAATAGGAAAATTAAATTAGTAAGGTTGGTATACGCAGCCAAACGCCAGCGATTTCTTTAACTGAATATAGTGAGGGTAAGATGCTATATGATTGACCACTGACAGTGTGATCACTCCGCTTGGATTTGGCACACTAGCAGAAGCCTTCTTTTGGGATGAGCGGGTGCCAGCTCAGTTAATGTTATTGTCCGAATTTAAAAGCAACCTAATTTTACTGTTCTTTGTTTCAGAAGTTCTGTTTAATACTTTGTGAATTTTAATGTTGAAGAAAGATATTGTGTAAGACATCATACACTGCTATTGAAACCTGAGTTATTGTAGTTATCCTAAGTTATCCTAAGGTCTTATTTATGGCTTTCCTGCTGACACGAGAGGAGAATCTCCCCACAAGCGACAAGATTGTTAATAGCTGTTTTCCCACCCAGAAGAACATCTTAATAGTAATTGAATTTTGCAACATGGAGTGAGAGATGTGCCAATGCAGCTTTCACAGGGCATGCTGGGAAATGCCAACAATGCCGCTGCTCAGCTGATTGAAACACTTGTCTGTAAAGAGCGATTCACCCAGGGGTTGTTTGTATGATGTTTCTTGTGGTGATATGGGGGTTACTTATCCTAAATGGCGGTCAAAGATGGCAGATGGCACACATCCAGCGAGATGTTTCTGTGAACAGCGGCAATCCAGAGTACACACACAAACTGAGGCACAGATAGACACAGGCAAATTATCAAATTAACTTATTTCAACTAAACAAGCTCACATGCACAACAAACTGGTTTAATGTACTGTCACTGGTAGCAGTTACTCGATTATGTAGTTATGGGATTGTGAACTAGGGTTTTGTATAAGAAAAAGGCCATTCTGTCCTAACATCGTGCAGCATTGATAGCCAATAAGATCTAATCCCTATTAAGTCCCCATCTTGATATTAATTACATGTACGAACCACTTAATTCCCAACCACTGTCTCTTTGTCTATCCCTTCTTTCTCCTTCCTGTAGATTTTATTTAGTCAGTGGGGGAGTACCCTTCATCATCTGCGGAATCACAGCGGCCACAAATATCGACAACTATGACAGCGGAGAGGAAGCGCCTTAGTAAGTCTTTGCTCAGACACATAATTCAAGGTCATTTCGTTATCATTCACAATAAATACCACACTTTAACTCATCTTTTTGACTCTCAAGTAACATTTGCAGTCTCTGTGTGAAAATTGGCGTGTTTTGAGTAGCAGTCACATTTAGTAGCAGATGGGACTTCTGTGTACTGTTGCTCCAGTTTCTTATTTAGTCGTCCAATGTATGATATTTGTAACATTCTTTGATTGTTTAAAAACATTACTGCCAGTATTCGTATAGTTATTTTTAAAACGTAATGCCAAAAATGCTGAGTGTTTCCACAATTTTGGCTGCTAGTATACATGTGTGGACCTCAGCATATGACTGGGACTGACTGGAGCGCCTTACTCTGCACAGCTGCTGGATGGTGTGGGAACCCAGCCTGGGAGCTTTCTACGGACCCGTGGCCTTCATTGTTCTGGTGACCTGCGTCTACTTCCTGTGCACCTTCCTTCAGCTAAAACGGCACCCGGAGCGCAAGTATGAACTGAGGGTCATGACAGTGGAGCAGCAGCGGCTGGCCACGGCTGAGGTGGGTCACTGCCACGGCGGGGAGCCGGGGGCCACGTGCCCCGCAGGCCACCACCACACCTGCCCCAACGCCTCCATGCTGGCCAATGAGCACTCTTTCAAGGCCCAGCTGCGGGCCGCTGCGTTTACGCTCTTCCTCTTCCTCGCCACTTGGACCTTTGGCGCGTTGGCGGTCTCCCAGGGCTATATCCTGGACTTAGTATTCAGCTGCCTGTATGGGGCCTTCTCCGTCACCTTGGGGCTCTTCGTGCTCATCCACCACTGTGCCAAGCGTGATGACGTGTGGCACTGCTGGTGCTCCTGCTGCCCATCCAGACGAAACGCCAACACCTGCGGAAGTCTGGGCCGCGGCCGGCCCAAGGTCAACATCAATGGGGACACCCAGGCTCACTGCCACCTAGACCCTCCCTGCCTGGGTCACGTCCACGGCCACGCGGCCTCCTCACACTGCAAACTCACCAACCTACAGAGCCCCGTGGCTTGTCTGTCGCCGGCAGCGCCCTGCTGCTCCGTCCTGCACAGCCAGCAGCTCCTGGAGGACGAGCCGCACGTCCACCTGCATCGCTGCCTAAGGGGCAGGACTAAGCCGCGGCACTTCTCCCGCCACCGGGGTGGCGCTGGCGAGCGCGAGTACGCCTACCACATCTCATCCAGCGTGGACGGCGGCAGCGTACACAGCTCACACTCGGACAGCCCCCGCAGCAGCCATGAGCGCCCCCGCTGCCACACCTGCCACCGGCACATGTGCTGTGCCAAGGCGGACCTCTTCCCCACCTTGTGCCAGCCAGAGGGCGGCGATGCCGGGACCCCAGGGATTTACGCCTGCGGCAAGATGGCCGACGACGACCTCGTGCACCAAGCCCATATGGAGATGCACTCGCGCAGACAATCATACCCACAGAACCCACCCAATCAGAACGGGATTCTCAAAAGCAGCTTGCATGAGGGCTTCCTGTACTCCTCTGACAGTACAGGTAATATACGCACTGGGCCTTGGAAAAATGAAACTACCGTGTAGTTGACGGACTATCAGTCCCTGGGTCCTTTAGGACAAAATTGCATTATAATGCTTTTCCTTTTTATATTACATTTCTCTCTGTTGAAATATTTTTTACTTCACAGGTATTTCCATGTCTCTTCGTTTCAAAATATTTGAGAAAGGTCGGGGGGGTGTCGTTTTTCTGTAAAAATTGATTAATGAGTGAAAGAAAACACGAAGGAGCCAAAATCTTTTCTTTAAAGTATTTTTATAACTGTTAAGGAGCAAGCGTGCGTTGTGTTACGTGTGTTGTGCGTGTGCCGATGCATGAAAGTGGATGCATTCGTGGCCGTGTGTGTAAATTATTCCGCATAGAAGAAGCTATTTAGAGTTTTCATTTTCTCCTGAGAGTATATTGAGTGGGCCTCGGTTGGCGTCAGTTTCCAACTGAAACTGCAGCACTCGGAGAAAACATCGGGATCCGTATATGACAAACACACCAGCAAATTAGCAACGTATGTATTTCACTATTCAAACGAGCATACAATATACTGTGAACAGTAACTAGATATGTCTTAGTAATTATATCAAATGAATCTGCTTCCATGGAAGTGTTATGGTGGCCAATAAGATGTGCAAAACTAAACAGAGAAGCTGCCTGTTTAAAAAGCTGCCACACTGCTTTTTCTATTACAGGTTAATATCGAATTATCCTGTCAATAAGATGTCTTCATATCCTTTCATCAGAGAGACACGTGTTTATCAGAATCACCTTAAAGCCTGGTGTTTGAATGATGGTCGTCTGCATGGCAAATGTCCTTCCACGGCACCTCACGGCAGTCAGGTCCTGCATCTTGCATGAACTGCAGCGTTGGGAGGTGGGGGGGGAGGGGGACACACACGCTGGCGGAGAATATCAAGTAGCACCCTAACTCCCTTCCACGACTGAGTGACACGACACCACTGTGTAAACAATTCCAACGAGCGGCAGAGGAGCTCTGCAGGAAGCCAGGGCACCCTCCGCTGTCTGTTTATTTTTCTATACCAGCGCATGCAGTGCTTGTTGTCTGTGAATCTGTGCAGTGTGCCTCGCAGTTGCGGCCAGTTAAACACAAGCGCCACGCTAGTTGCGTCAGTTACGTCTTTGGAGCAAAGCGAATTTTCAAAAAAAAAAAAAAAAAAAAAAAAAACAATAAAGATGCCTAAACTCATTTCACTCAAAACCACATTCGGTTTGATTTTTATTTAATTTATTATTTCTTGCCATTGCAGTATTTTTGAAGCCTTATTTATGAAACGTTTTAGGCAGAAAGATACGTGCAGGAGCTAGCTTCTTCCCCACCGGGCATTTTCCCTTGGAATTTCTTTAACATCACAGCGACGTCACCGGAAAGCCAGAACATAAAAGTGTGCGATGAGAGGTGACAGAGTGACACAAAGGGAAAGGGAAAGATTACAGTCTGCTGTTGGGTATGTGCTCGCACTGAGGGTAATTGTTTTCCAATGAATGACAGAGAGAGACCACAAAAACCAATTTCTTACATACGACGATTCTTGTATAAACAAAGGATGGAATTGCACTCAAAACCTGAGGAATCTTGACTGCTTAGAGAATTTTGCAGTAGAGTCACATTAGGATTATGGATATAACTTGGTAACAAACATTTAGTCAGGGATTTATACTATACTGCATGGAAATGGGATGCAGAGAATACAGAAAGGAGCATCAACTCTCGCATAAAATCGGGACATGCATGATATTCCAACTCTACATTCTTTAACACGTGTATATAGAATCAGTTCTAATAATTTTATTTTGTATAACAGTGACCAAGATATTTAAGAAAAATTATATATCTAGATTAAAAATAACAAATTAAATAGGCCTGAAACCTACAAATATTACTGCTCAGTATCTGAGTTGAAATGTGTTTCCGTTCTCGTTCTGCCATTTCTTCCTTGCTCTAGGTATGTGAACGTGCCATAAATTGTGAGAAGTCTGGTCATTTCTGGTAGCGAAGGCATCACAGAGGATGTTGCCACATAAGAAAAAAGAACAAAACAGCTTGCTTAAGAGATACCCTTGCAAGAGTCGTTTGCTTTCTTCTATTGTACATTTGACTCTGTCCTTGAAGAAAAATGAGAATTCCGTATTTGTCTGTTTCAGTGTTTGGTACCATTCCACATGTCATCAGTGCAGTTACCGCTGATTTCAGACTGCTGAATTAGCTTGTCAAATCTCTGTCAGCCTATGTCAGTGGTACTTTATCTGAACCCAAAGCCAGTTTTCACCTTTTCTACATCACCACAGATTCCAATAAATGTATTTTTTCACCATAAGAATGATTTGGGCTATTTGTTTGGTTGTGTGTATGTTTGTGTGACTTTATAAAATGTTCTGAAGTCGGCAGGCAAGACTGCAATAATGCATGTTGCCAGATTGCGTACTTTATTCATCTCTGCTTCCTGCTCTACTCTGCCTTTCACTTAATGCTTTTTTATTCTCTAATTTGTGATTATTCTATAAGCAGAAAAAAATAGATTTCGGGTTTTATTTTAAAAGAAATTAAAAGAGTGGTTTAAGCTTAGCATTGTGACCTTGTGTCTGGAGAAACTTGATGTGTGTGTAATTGACTTTTATTTGATTAGGGCAGTACAATGTACCGTGAACGTGAATTATCACAGAATGGGCAGGCTGCTGGTGTGTTACCAAAATGCAGTGGCAAAATGTTTGGATAGTATTTCCTCATGCTGCTCCCAGAGTGTTTCTGGTAGAATTATTCCCAAGGTGACCAATTACCAAGCTGATCTAATGGGAACCACACATACCATGTTGACAGCTCTCAGTTTTTAGTTAAACCGCACTATCACTGTTTCATGAAAAGAAGAACCAAGGCACCTGTGGTTTTTACAGTACAATTTTGGCTCCAGGACTTGTTTCACTCTGCTGTAGCAATTGCCAGGATCTGATTCAGCAACTCATCTTAGGTCAGTGAAATCAGTCCTTCGATTTGTAAAGAGTGGCATTAGAACATGATAAAAAGGGTCAGTCACTTCGCGATGGACTTCAAAGAATCTGAGATTCTTCTAGAAGAAAGCCTCGGGGCAGTTGTCTGATAAAGCATAGACTAAGGACAGAAGGTAAGACCATGGATTGTTTGAATGGGATGATAATAATACCACATTGATTTCATTATTTTTATAATGATTTGTGTTATTGCAAAATTATGAATAAGTGAGTTTCCATCTCCGGTATGAATGATATTGTAACAATATGTGAAATATGGTGCCCCCATCAAACATGGATGCCAAAAGTGAAAAGCAGGCATCTGTCCTTGTCACATAATAGGGTCAGCATCGCAGGGGGGCCTTTCAAATGAGCCATAATGGCCCCCAAACGCCACCCACCAAGGACACAATCTTTTGTTTTATTTTGATTTTATTTTTTTAATAAAGTCATTCATCCTAAAACAAATAAGCCTGGTCTCTCCCAGGGGTGTTCCAGCTCCCCTGCATGCCAGCACCGTCACGTGATTCTGAATGGCACATGCTGACCGGTGGCACAAGGAGAGAGGAAGGGGAGTGTTTAGGAGTCCAGAGGTATCTTCACAAATAGTGTGACAAATACACAAACCCAGAAACACAACGCTTTCATGATGATTATTACCAGCCACCCTAAATGACAGCCAGAAAATGTAGGTACGTTTTATTACTGAATAACGCAACAGTAAAAAATGTTAGAGTGAAGTAAAAAAGAGGATCACTCCAGGGCTTTTAAGGAAGTTACATAGCCTGTGCCATACTCTGTCTTATCAGTCTACTGTGCAATTTTTCATCATATTGATTTGAAGGACAATGGATTGGCAGCCTTGTGCAACTGGGGAGTGGGGGAGGGGGGCAACGACTGGGTTACCCATAAAACAATTTGTGTGTGTGTGTGTTTTTTGTGTTTTTTTATTATTATTATTTTATTGTTATTTACTGGGCAACAAAAGCAACAAATGAGCATCTGTTTAAATGTCCTTTCGGTAGCATGATTGCCAATCATTCAAGCAGCACTTGATTCAGTTGTATTAAGCGTTAGCCACCTTTCTCCACCTTAGTCCAGCAATTTAATTAGTTGATTAGTTGCCTATGAGAAAAAGAATGCTCTCTGAAGCTCTCATCTGTAATGGACTAGAAATACCTTCAAACGAATTATGGTGGCTAATACTGTACATTATATTGCATTATGAAGGTATCTATAGTGCGTTATAGATGAGAGCTTCATAGAGCTTTCATAATGCATAATACACATGGCTATAATGTGTTATTCCTGTCTATCAATATTTTTAGGCATGCTTATAATACTTCATGAATGCATTCTCAAGCATTATGAAGGTATCCACAATGCATTATGATGACTGCTTTATGTAAAGTGTTACTGCCATTTTCACCAAATATACACATATAGAGATATCCTTCACTTAACATCGGAATTTATTTATATTTCAAGGTTGATGCTATGTGAGTAGTATGGAAAAAAGAGAAGATCGCCATAAAGGAGGCAATGAAAAGCTGCTGTCCTTGCCAGCGTAATGGAGAGACCGCTGGGATCAGAGCTATCGTTGACTGTGGATTCAGTTTTAGATGCCCCATGTTTAAATTCACATTAAAATTCTGGATCCTTCTTTACATTGCTCATTCTGATGGGAAAGGTCAAGGAATTTGTCAAGGAGCAATAATAATAATACGTAAATCAATAAAGAATTTAAGTAGTGCACAAAGGAGGTGCACTAAACCTGAAAAATGAAGTGTATGTCAGATTTCAAACAGAAGAGGTCACTCAACAGATACCACATTTATAAATTAACCCAAGAATAGCAGCACATAGCTAGAACCTAGTCGGTAGCAAATTGCTAATACAGAAATTAGTAGACAATATGGATGGCAAAAACCAAAAATAAATGCACTCGTCCTAACTTCAGCAAGCATAATGATGGAAGACAACCACAGCAGGAAGCAAATTAATGAAATGCTCCATCTGGACAAGCAGTTCAATGCAAGACACTGCCATCTGGTGGTGTCATTGAATAAATGCAATTCTATGCCCAGCAATTCCCAGCTTGAATGCAGAGGTTTAATGTTCTTCAAGATAAACATTATGAGGTGAGGCATCCAGATTGCAGGGTTAGTCATCTAATATT